AAACAAAATCAAACAATAACAAAATAAAAATACACACATAAAAAAATATTCAAAATGGCGTCCATCGTTCTCAATACAAAGCTGCAGCCTTCTCTGTGTTGAAAGAGCAGCAGTCTCTACTTCAGACATTGAAATTTCTGGTCCAGTCGAAGCTCCTCTTCAAATTAGTTCGTCGAAATCGGTTAGCCAAAAAAAAGTTATTCAAGTTTTTGTAAACCAATATTTGACCCTCCCTTCCCCTGATTGGACGTCATAGAAAAAAAAAGTTCAAGAAAACAGTTTCGTTATATAGAGCAGGTTACGTTAAAACTAATTTTGATATCGGTTAATTTGTAATATTTTTGAGAAAAACCGTTTTTTCTATTTTACAGTGAAGTTTATGTCCTCTAGCGGCCATTTTATAAACTTGAAAATAATTTGCAGCTTTTTCTCTTGATCGATTTACCTATATATATTTTTTTGCCTAAGATGTAGGACTAACAATTCCTGAGATATGGCCTTTATTAATGGGCCACCAGGTACGTCGATCTTCAAACGCGATCCTTTCGCGTCTCCCCGTACGTCGCGCCCAACGGGAATCAGATAACGCCGCGTGGCAAGGATTCTCTCTTCCCAATGGGGGGCCACGTGACCAGTAATCGACGGAAACACTCGTTTTCGCACGAGCGCGCGTGATTGTCATGTCATTATGTCATTCGGGAGCCTTTGTGCGAGCCTGCGAGAGACCTGTTGTTGGGCCGTCGGTGTTTGGGTTAAGAGGGATTAAGTCTGGGGTAACCGGCGGCGGAGCGAGCTCAAATAAGTTTTAAATATTACACGAAGCTGGTCCGCGTCGTCGGGGTTTGTTTACAGGAGATTTTGGGTTAATCCTGTCGCGTTCGGCTGCCTCACAATTTGCAGGAAATTTGTACGCGTTGTCCGATTTTCGACAACGGGTATCTCGCTTATTTTTAAAGATAGGTTGTGGTTTTCTAACACTATCACGGTTGTCTTTTGACTTATGAAAAAGCTATAAGCTCGTTCTTATAGAACTTTTTTGTACAATCCTAATATGTTTCTTATAGTTGAATATCCTGCATTTTCTAACTAGTCAAATTAGGCACTTCTCATGCTTGCTTTAGAGGTGCATATGGAAAGTCATTTAGTTCAAAACATATACGCAAACATACATGAATTCGCAAAATTTGAAATACTTCAAATTCACAGGTAAAAATAAAAAAGTATGTATTATAAAAAACCAATGCAGTATAAAAGATAAAAGTGATTAAATATTTCGCTTTTTTTAAAACGTTGAGTGTAACCTCAATGAATTGCTGGTCTAGTAGATGCAATAGATTCAGTACTTTCCTGCTTCTTGTTAATATATTAGTGTCGTTAGCGTAATTGACAGCGTTTGAAGGAGGTAATTTAAATAAATGATGAAGGGCAAGGGCCCAAGAAGGCTACCTTGCGGCATATCGAGTCAAATGAGGAGTTTTTCGGAAAAACTGATAAATATAAACATAAACGCAAACATCATAAATTCTCAAGGTTTGAAATACGTCAAAGATACAGCTAGTTTTTTTAAGAACAGGATGCATTCGGAAATGTAAATTCCAGCAATTGCTAGTAAATTTTAAACTTTGAGTGTAATCTCAATGAATTGGTCTAAAGTTGCCGTAATTGACACTGATTGACTTCGTTTAAAGGAGGTAGAGTGCCCAAGAATTCTACTTTGCGGCACATCGAGTCTAATAAGGAGTTTTTCCGAAAAAAACGTGTTCTAAAACTACGTTATGATACCTATATATTAAAATTTTAAAATAATACCACACAATGAAATACATTTTTGTGCATTTAATAATAAGTGAAGACTGAACATGAATCGTTTGCTTTTTGGTATTTAACGTGTATTTTTTGGTTTTAGTTGACACTTGGTTTTCGAAAAAATTTGAAATCATCAAAATCGGCACAGGCGAGCCGGCGCGAATCGCCCCCTACGCGAAGCACATCTGCAAAAAAGTGCCCCGAGATTATCGCGTAATAGGGGGTTTTAACAGTAGCCCTGGTGTCGGGTTTTTAATAGGGATCACATATGGCGCTTTCGTTTTGCGAGGGGCCACTTCAAACGCATCATCCCCCGTCTGGGCATGGTGGTGGTGATCGTGATACAGATAAGCAAACCAACCCGAAGGGGTACAAAGTGGCTTTAATAAGGCGACCCTTGAATAAAGAAAATAAGAAGAATTTAGAGCATTTTTAAAATGATTTTCCCTCTTTAAATGGTGCTGAGCTAGAAGGGCGACAATAGCTTCAAGCATTTTAAATATACAGTCGAAACTCAATACAGCGAAATATTTAATTATTTTATACACATATTTTAAGATCTACTTAGGAACATTTTGTATAAATATTTAAGAACTACAATTAATGAAATCAGTAAATAATCGGTCATTTTCACCATTTCCTCGAGAGGGGCATCTTCCCCATGACACATAAAAATTTTTTCTGGCAGCTTAACTGAATGTAGGGCTTGTTGAATGGTTGGTGGTGGTCCCAGATAAACTTCATCTTCTTTCTCCTCTTGGTGCTCTTCCCCACCCTTTCTTGCTTCTTGTGTATGGCTTCCTCTGTCGAGTCTGCTGTTGTAGGCAAATCATCATCTATGACCATAAAATCTTGAAATTTGACTTGTTTGTCTTTTGAGTGACCGGCAAATGCTTGATGTTGTTAAAACATCTTGGGGACTAGCTTTCTTTTTTCTCGTTCTCGTTCTTTAGAAGGTTTCCCACCCACACATTTTGTAAAAAATACCAGTTTCGTGACCATTAAAAATTTCGTCGGCAGGGGAATTTTCTGCTAGTTTTGGCCACGCCTTCTCCAGTCAATCGTCAGTGACGTTTCTGTCGACATCACTGGCTTCGCCACTTATCTGTCCATAATTTATACCTTTATGTCTCTGTTTGAACTTCCCCAACCATCCTTCCGAAGCCTTGAAATCGATAATGCCAAGCTGTTCAGCAAACTTTTCTTGTGCTTTTATACATACCGATAAAGGCATTAACATAATCCCTTATTACGAGAAAAACACTTAGGACTCGGTAATTAGATTATTAGGGTAAGGAATTCTGAGAACGTAAGAGACTCTATTAATCACAAGTCGGCCTACATTCCTTACTTTGATGTGCTCTTTTTTCTTTCGGTATAGAGAGTTAGAAATTCGTTATAGAGAGTGCATTAATACATAGCTTTGTATGGAGACCTAATAGTACAACAAATTTACAATAATTTATTTTAAATTTATAATAAATAAAATCGGAAATAATGTAGGTCGATTTCCAAAGTCAATCGACTAATTTCGGGCCCCAAACGGTTTCCGGTTTTCTTTTGGGACCAGGAAACCGGAAATAACCCGACCTACCCCCACCCGCAAGTCAAAATAACCCCGAAACGGGAGCGATTTTTTGAAAACTCCGCAGGAGACAAGGAAAAATGTTTAGATATTATATAATATATTTGTTGTCAATCGTTAATCCAAGAAAAGTCTTATAAAACAAGTGGACTAACGTTTAGCTGAAAATGACGTCACAGACCAGCGATGCAGGGAGTTCCGAAATTGATGTACTAAATTTATTTCACCTGCACATTTTTTTACAATTTGTTAATAGAAACTTCATAAAAACAATTTGAAGCTTTCGGTTTTACCATTTTTTAGGATAATTTTTTTTTTAATCTTTAAAAAATTAAAAATTAAAATTTGTTCTAAATTTAAATAAAATATGTCTTTGGTCCTTTTTTTTTCAAATTCATCAAATTACTTAGACCACCTTGGTTTAGTTGATTGGCGGTGTCTTCCACGCCATATTTCAAAAAACGATTTTTGTGTAAATTCACTATAGCTGGTAGTTGATATGTTGCCAGTTACTTGACAAGTGTAAAGTAGTACCAAAAAATTTGGTATCACAAATTATAACTAACAAGGTGCTTTCAGAAAAAGCGCTTCCATACTGGAAACGAAGAGGAATTTTTAAAAGGAAGTTTGCTAACCTCTCGATCGATCGGTTACTCACTAGAAGTCCTTTGATAATGGAGTAACACCTTTTTATGAAATGCGCCCAAAAGATATAACAGAAAAGGATAAGGCAACTGCGCTGCGCGACTCTGCGTAACTTCTTATAGAATCCCATAAATCATGCCATTAGAGAAGTGACATTGGAGCACTGAAGAAGATTCACCCAGCATGACATTAAAGAAGATGAGAAAATGTTGTTCGACGGAACGTTAATTATGACGTTCGGATGACAAAGAATTTTGTAAAAAATAGGGGTACCCTATTCATAACGAGTAATTTTTATTGTGGTTTTTTCTGCTTTTTACGAATATCCCACCTGGACCTCTTTAGCAGACCAGTTTTAGTGTTGGTGAATGAATAACAATAAGCAAAACCCATAAATTTATCCATTTTCCATAAGATTATGCTTAGGTAAAGTATTTCTTTCAGCTCACCAAAACAGTGGGACCAAAAAGAGAAACTTGGTAGATTAGCGAATGATTTGAACCGGAATGATATTTTAGGTATTCATTTCAAGGGAATGGCAGTTGATCTTCTCATTAATATGTTAACTAAGATTGTAGATAGATATCAGGATAGGTTTCAATAAGAACTAGTCCCTGATGAGGGTTTTATTACTCTACACCATTCTGAAATGGCAATTAATACCACTTTTTTGTTACTCCCCACCTTTTATAAACAGACTTTAGTATGTTCAATAGATTTTTGAATGGATAATTCGTCAAAAATTCACATGACTTTGTGAATTAAAATTTAGTTTAATTTCCGACAGCCAGACACCCCGAAAAACGCTTTCGACCACGCGTTACGGTGGAACTAAAAAGAAAAACGCTTAATATATATCATAAAAACTTTTATTTTACATTTTAGTGTATTTTGTTTTCATCGAAAATAAATAAATAAAATTCCACATTAACAAAATAAATTCATAGTACGTAAAAATATACAACAAATCATATACTTGTACAGGACAATTCGAGGCGCCGTTGCCGCTTCCTCTAAAAGTCCCGCGCTCCCGGGATAACTAATTCGCGTAAATTATACCAATAGAGTCGCTTGTTCGTATACCGTTTTTTTCATTTAAACATCGTTGTGTAGCAAAACGTGATCCATGTTTTTGTACACAGGCGCAAATACATCGCGTCCGCCATTTTCTAAATATGTACACAAAAAATCGGACGATTGGATACCAGTTGTGAAGGTTTGAGGTTAGGTGTGGGAAAAACAAAAACCTTCGCAAGCGGTTTTCCGTACAAAGCCGATCGGATTTCCAAATGTCGATATGGTTTCGCTATAATAGTGTACAAGTATTTACATAGCCATTAATTTACAAAACTATATAAGATCTTTCTTCATATTTTCGTTTAAAGTTTACTTTAGAATCCCAGCTTTCTAGCGATATGTATACTCGGTTTGTTTTATTTTTAATTAATAAATTTTTTAATATTCAAAGATATGCAAAATTTCTTTGTGATATTTTCCTCATTGTATGGAGATGATTTTTGTTTTCCGACCGCACGGTAGACGTTTTTGGGGGTCTAGAGGGGATGAAATCCAAGGCTATGACTATTATTTCCTAATGTAAAACAATACAACAACGCAAGAAAAATCTTAAAATCTGTGATTACTTTGCTGCTTTAACGGTTCAAAAGATACACGATCCAATCTTGGTTAAAATTTTAATTTTTTCATGATGTCACTATTTTTAAGCCTGGAATTTTAATAGACAGTATCTGCTTCAAAAATAAAATCAATTTACGAAAGTTTTGAAACATTTTCCTTTACGTGTCAAAGTTGTAATTTTTCAAATAAAAAATGATTAAACCGATTCACTATTTTTGGACAATGTAGAAAAATTTTATAGGAAAAGGTTTCCTCTTTTTCGTCAATCGTTTCGGTGTGTCAATTTTCAAAAAAAAAAATCTTTTTCACATTTTTCCAATCTAACTTTTTTTGTTAAACCCGAATTTAAAGAACTAGGAATCAAAATACTAGACTGAACACTTTATTTTAAATTTTTCTTCGCTTTTAAAGAAAACCTTCCAATGCATCTATGGAAATCGTCAAAGTTGTTGCAAAGTTTAACTAACTTAATTAATTAAATAAAATAATTTAATTAATATTAAAATAAAAAATGTAGTATCTCCTTTCCCCTCGGATCCGGGTACAACGTCCACCGCGCCCGAAGGGGGTGGGTCGGGGCTGCGGTACCCCCTCCCCCCCTCCCGTCGTGGCATCACCTCGTAAGTATATTAATGATCACAGCTTAGTAACGTTCGATACGTGGTACCGGCCCCCAGGAGAGGGGGCGGCGCTATGCGGATTATTGCACACTCTGGTAACTATATGACGTTCCGACCTATTTGGTGGATCCCACAAGGGCGGCAGCGGCGGCGGTACCGTAGCCCTGTGCGTTACACGTGGGTAGGGCGAAGGGGTTCATCGATGCGAATGGCGACGACACCAGACTCATTCCTACAAGCGAAAAAAACATTTTTTAGATACCACCGGAAACAGTCGACGTCGATGAACAAAATGGGGTCGGAAAGTGCTATTTTGTTTGTTCAAAAATAATATTAATTAATTCTTAAAAACGTAATTTTCTGTTATTTGCTATGCCAATGTTTTTATTTTTATTATTTATGAAAAAGTCGAATGTGTTATTATTTAAAACATTTATTAAGGACAGATTATATTTTGAGACTCAATTAAAGGAACGTTAGAGAAGGAGAGAAGATTTAGAAATTAACTCAGAAAACATGTTTCTTCCTAAATAATAATCTATCTCTTTTCTCTTCTACAAAATTAACGTGAAAACTAAGGAATGCAAGTGAAAATTATTATTATTGAAAGAGTTATTAAAGACAAATTGAAATTTTGTTGCACTATCATTTTATCTATTATTTATCATTTTCTTTTCCACAAAATTAATGTGAATATTAAAGAAACTAAGTAAAAAATCAAGAAATCTAAAAGACGAGTACGAACTGTGGGGACTGAAAATCAATATGTATAAAACCACATATTTATGTATTGGACAAGTTGTAAATTAGATTAATAATAGCTGTCAATTTGTCTAAGATCGACAATACACTGAGATGGTACATGTTAAAGGGATATAGAGACAAAAATAGCACTAGGAAAACAAGGTTGCTTTCGGGGCAAGTTCGTGTGGTAAAAGGACGCATTGTTTTTCTATCATGCTCCTGCGGACCACTATGGAACTTTCGCAAAATCGATGTAATTTTATTGTGCATTCACCCAGAATAAAGTGTCCTTCACATCTCGTCGAACTTCAAAGTTACAGCAAACAATGGCACATATTAAAATTTGTAAAAATAATAGCGTTATCGCGCCCTGTATAATTGAAGAAACCTGAAACTCTCCGTCGACAAAGTTTACGAAATTTTTAGGATCTTTTAAAAATAAAAAATAAGGTTTTTTTGAGAGCCCCTGAAATAGAATCTTTTCAAATGTCTCGAGCAGCGTATGTGATAGACGAAAACTGCAAATACAAAAATTGTAGCTCTTGATGTAGCCTATAGCAATGTTTGAACCAATTAGCCATATTTTTTACGACTTTTGATTTACTCTATAAAAGAACAATTTTTTAGGTCTAATAGATTTTTGCCTGTATGTAATCGAAAAAATGCCTGAAATAAATATTATTGCACTGGATCTTCCGCGTCTGCTGGTTAAAGTATTTTGCCGATCAGGTGAAGGATTATTACTAAAAAAAAAAATCAAAAATTTCAAAAAATAATTAAAATAAATTTGAAGTTGATATCTGCAAATTTAGGACACTTAACACATTTCTCATTTAGCATGGAATATCGGGAACATCCTGTACAATAGGTAAAAACCTTAAATGCAAAAATTTTTGCTGTCTATGCGGGCTATATGGCAAAAGTTAAATGACACCTGAATTTTCAATAATAGGGGGGACTCATTTTTCAGTTTTTTTGCGGCGCACCCTGTATATTTTTGAAAAATTGTCAAGAATAAAAGTTTATGGAGCCGTATCTTCTGCGTCGTCCGGTTAAATAATTTTTTTGCTCTCGTAAACCGTTTTTGAAAAATGATGTTTTTTGTAGACCCTTGTACACGCGATTTTTCATTTTTTAGAATACTTACCGACCCCCCCCCCCCCCCAGCCTCAGCCCACATTTTTAATAGGTTCCGTCAGTCGATTGCTTCAAATTTTGGACACATCGTGTTTCATAGCAATGTCGACAAAACAGTCGAAAATCGCGAAAAAAAGATGGATACCGGCGTCGGATCAGGACTATTTCTTATAAGCTTATGTGCCTCGTGGAGGGTTAAAAAAGAGGCAAATTTAAATTTTGTAGCTTCAACGGTTCGAAAGTTATTTAGGAAAAACCAAAAGACGATAACGGAGAACAGAGAACGGACAGACAAAAAAAAATTTTTTTTTGACGGTGATCGTTACCGAAATATAAAATTTTTATACGAGCGTAGATACTTTCGAAAAATTCGATTTCATCGATTTTCGAAAGTAAAAAGCTACAAGCATGGACTGATATGGAACAATATTCTTCATTCAATATTCTAGAGATCTGAGGGTAAGGGACTCGAATATAAGAGAACTGTGGAGGATAAAAACGGCGAACTCGTAAAGGAAAATGCCGAAGAAAAAGAAGTAAAAAATCTTATTATTGCACTTTCAATAATGAGCTCTGCTTAGACCTCATCTTTATTGAAGAGTGAAAAAATTTTTGCAGGAACACTAGATAAAGAGAAAATTTAGAACGCAACTAAGAAAAAAAGCAAATAATTGGTACTACAATGTACTACTAAATTTAACCAAAAAATTAAAGGGCATGTAAAAGAATACTGAGGTTGTTAATGGGAATACGCCACAAAATATAATAGTGGTTGTAACTTTAAACTTAATTTAATGTTGGACAAGACCTTATAAGGAATTTAGAGGAAATAGTATTTCTTCTAAAACATTTTACGTATAAATTTTTTTGATGAAAAATTTTATTTTCTAAAATACCTCGTATAAACGACAATACCTTTTGACGCTATACCACCCGCGTGCATCATACGAAAGCCAGCTGCATGCAAGCAAAAAGTAAAAAAAAAACACAGACCACAAAAATATACTAACACTGAACGGCCAAGTGGTGCCACCCGGTCAACGGTTGGTGGTGGAACAACGCGGGGGCGGGTGGGTAAGCGGCGGGAGGCGGCGTTTCGACGCCCCTTAGTACGGGCGCGAACGCACTTTTCCCTTTATCGACGTGCGACGATTTTGGCGGGAAATTGTCGAGGGCTGCTAAAAAAAATGGAGGCGGGAGTCAAAAAACTAAAAGCGCGCGCGCGTGTGTTTGTGAGCTACCGCTTGCGTGCCCCCACCCTCGACGACTTACTTGGTGCTGAATTAAAGATGCCCCCCGACGGAGATGACGGCAACATGGTCGACATGGGGGTGGTGCTGGTCGGAGTGGTACCGCCGTAGCCGTTCATTTGGTTGCCGCCCCCTCCGCTGCCGTTGTAGGAACCGCCGCCGTTCGAGGAGTGGGGGGTGGAGGCGTTCGAACAGTAGCCGCCCCCGCGCGGGCTGGCGCTGCTGCTTTGCGCACGACCTCCGTACTCCTCTAAAAGAAAAACCCTACCGGTAAAAATTTGAATCAGTATCGTGATAAAAACACGTGATAAAAATTTTGAGTCTGGTGCGAGCAGGGAAACTATATCTGCGGCTACTTCGCCAGGAAGAAATAAAAAACCTTAATTTGGGAAGAAATAATAATAGTCCTTATTGGGAATTAAGATACTAAATTCTCAAAAGGCGAAGTCTTGCCGACTTGACTTGACTTGACAACACAATTAATTTATATATTATACACCTTTATGACAATACAATTTGTAACAAAAGACCCCGGTTCAAAGAAGAATGAAATATGAACAGAAGAAAAAGAAAGTAGGTAATTATGACAATATTTCTGTGATTAATTACAAGACGAAAAAAACCCAATCAGCAGGTTATTTACAGATGCAAGTATCTTTTCAGGAAGTGCATTGCAGAGAGAAATTGGCCCTGCTTAACCTTCGGGTCAAAAAAATAAACAAGCTGGCTATCTTTAGCATATGATTGAGATTGGCAAAATTGCGTCAGATGGTGCAAATTATTACAATTTCGTGAAAAGTCGAGTAGAATTTGTATTGTCATCTAAACTCGAAAAAATTCGATCTGTCACAAAACTATTGTAGTACTGTGTCCCGGACGGAAACCCGATTGAAACACAGATAGGATGGAATTATTTTTATATTGCTGTAAGTGGACAACCCTTTCCAGAACCTTGCTCAACACAGGTAGTAAGCTAATCCGCCTTAGACCATTAAGCGATTCAGGAGAACTTTATATCTCAGTTTCTTCCAACGCTAATTTTGGAAATCTTTGTACTGCTGTAGCTCAATCTTATTCTTATATAGCAAACTACTTGCTTGAACGTTCCTCTTCCTCTAACCTCTTTTCATTTCCATGAATGAAGACTGTGAATTTTCAATTCTAACAGCTCATAAGTCAGGAATTGTTGTTCACTTGTTAGCATCAAGCAATAATGGCAAAAATTCCAAATGAGTACAAACATCAATGATGGTTCCAGAGTTACTCGTCGATCCTGATCGCCAATTTCATAGTCACATAGGTTCGTAAACTAGCACTAGTGAAACAACAAAAGAAGGAACTATAGTCGAACCTTCTGTCCACTGACCGTTTCCGCTGTCCTGCACGCTCACAGCTAGCTGCCCTGTGTACGCGTTGAAGGACGTCGCCATACCGTTGTTCGCCATCGTGGGTGATCTGGGGGCGGAAAGCGACAGCTGATTGTTCCTCGGCATCGAGTAGAGCGCCTCCGCGAGGTCCGCCGCGCGTTTGAGTATAATTTCCTGAGGAAAGGAGGAAGTAGATTGGTCAGCGTCGTCGGCGTCGCACGTTTCTTACCTTGGGAAGCTTCTCCGGGTCGCCCGGATGCCTCGGTATGAGTTTCTGGAGCCTCTGGAAGCCGTAGTCTATGGTCGGCTCGTTCAAAGCTGCCAACAAACGAGATGGGTTAGGAGAGGGTTAGTTTAACGACTTCTTGAAGTAACCTACAGACGTAGACGAAGCGACCCGGCGCTCCCTTGCAGAACTGCTTCGACTTGTACGAGAGCGTCACTTCTACGACTCCAGGTATATGTCGGGGTGGCGTCTGAACCCGTATCGCGTGTGGGGTGATCAGCTACAAGAAAAACACCTCATTATTCGGCACCATAGGAGTGATAGGCCGGTAGTAGTACCTCGCTCCACACCAGCATGGTGCCGAACACCACCTGGAGGCCGTCGAAGAAGTTGTCGCCGACGATGATGACGGTTGAGCCCCCCGCGGTCCACCCTTCGCTAGGGCTAATCGCCTTAATGCACGGGGTGGCCACGGGTAGGGGCGGGTAGAGGCCTGGAAATTGACCTGCTTCTATGAGGTAACCTTACGGGTGATCGAGGTGGGGCAAAGAGAAAAAAAGATATCGATAATTTGTTCGTCGGTATCAAGTTTTTTGTGGGCGAAAAATAAATGAGAACGCCTTTATTTTCTTTTGCGTGAACAATGTACCTCTCCTTTTTTTAATAGTGCGGCCGCGGGGGGAAAAAGGGGGCCGTTTCGCATGCCCGTCGCGTACGCCGCTATTCGGAACTTTGCGAAATTGGCTCCGGTTCACCGGAGGACGGAAACGGAACCCGGAGCGGAACTGCCGCTACCGCCACCTAGCGACGGAATCTTAATCCTTTTTCTTGCCCGGCCGCACCTCCCGACCCCCTCGCAATCGGCGCGGAGTTATATTGCCCGTGAAAAAACAGTGGCGTCGGCGCTAAGTTCGCGTCTTGGTCTGGGAGAAAGTGAGGTATTGTACGACCAAAAATATAGTGCATTTGTTGCTTAGACGTTTTAAGTATTTTACAGTACCTTAACCGCAGGACCATGGTAAAACCCATCCCAACAGATGTTTATTCTGCATTAACTAGGTCTGAGATGGACCGTAACGAATATTTCTAGAAACTTTTATTTGAAACCTAAATGGACCGTTTTAAATTTAATTAAGCATTGATGCTGCGGGGTATTTTCGAATAAGTAGAGGCGTTTATTTTAACATCGTTCTTAAGAGTTTAATCTAAATTGCAATATGTGATCCTTCCACTAAGTACGTATTTATGTACCTGATTTTCGAGTTTTGATCTTCAATGGATAGCTCAAATGAAAATGATCATTCTTGTCTTGTGTGCCTGTCGATGAACAACATGCTTCTTGTACTTTTGTGTCTCCTACATAGTTCTTCGATTTGTAAACAACAACGGTCTTCTTTAAATGTACAGATTATATTCGCAGTAGTACAGGACCGTCACAAGAATACAAATAAATATTTATTAGAATCTTACAATTGAGCATTTTTTAAGGGTTCCTGTTTTTTAACACTTTAAAATGTGTAAACTGTGGAATGAAGCAGATGTTCCCCTGTTAAAAGAAGACATGAAAAAAAAAACGCAGAATTTGATGACGAAGTGGAGATGATAGTCGAACCTAATAATTTTTTTAGGTACATGTTTCAAGAATTGCTCAGCGAAAAAGATTGAAAACATACTTATATCCCGCTTGTTGGTGTTGGTAGATAAATTCCTAGGACGGTTACAGGTAAGGGTCTGCTCGGTAGGATATGCTGCGATTTTGGAGTAATAAATAGTAGTCAAAGTTAATCACGGTTGTAAAACACTATAATTTTGGTCCACCTATATCAGATTTTTAAAAACTAAAAAGCATTTTAAAGTAATGTAAGCGTTTCATAGTTATTTATTTATAATAAATTTATATAAATAATTTCAACAACAACGACTTATCAAAACACCAAAAAAAAAGAAGTAGGACTTAAGCAGAAAGACCGAATCTCATTGGAAAAAAAATGCACCGCACTGGCTCCGAAATTCGCAGTGCCGCTCTATATTAGCTCGAACTCACCGGAACAAACCGGCTTTAAGCCCGCGCCATTCTCAACCCCCCACTAATATTTCACTTTGTTCTAGTTTATCCGTTTCCGGTTTAATTTTCTCTCTTTTTAACCCCCCAGACGGGCCTCCCAAACAACGACGCTTTACGTCGTCGTTTACCCCTCCACCCCGCACCAGATTTCATTACGTTTCATCTCGTTATATATTCTCACCCCTTCCCTGCGCCGCTTTGTTTACCGTCCCGAATGGGGTCCGTATTTCACGTAAAATATCGAATACCTACAGAGTGTCTCATGATAATACTATGTATTTTTTCAGTTATTCATTTTCGACACCCCAACATCGGCCACCATTTTTGACGAAAATTTCTTCTTACTCGTAGCTTTGGGGCTTACCTTCGGTGGGGTCCAGCCGTTTCGCCCGTCTGCCGTGTTTGGAGTTGTTGTGGACGAACATGTTGTCCGAGATGGCCAGCAGGGGACCATCGACCGATACCTGCGTCGATATGACCACCTGGGAAAAAAGAAGATTAATTTCCAAGTTGTAATTGGAGTCGGCGGGCTCATCCCGCTTCTGATTTCGAAACTTTTAATTCATTCGGGACGCTCGGGGGTTGTCTCCGGACACACCGATGCGTGGGAGGACGTAATACAAATACAAATTAATACAAAATTCAGGATTAAAAAAAAGTTTTTCTACTCCCGTCTGTAAAATAGCAAATTACACACCGATCTAGTATGCGGAAGGCGTTACTTTACCACGTCAGTTTCGTTTCCCACGGATCCGAGCCACTTCGGACATTTCCGGGATTTTACCGAACGGGTTTGCGAGCAATCGGATGTTTTCGGAGATATTTCCCACGCTAAATCGCACTTTTTTTAACTCGTTTATTAATCACTCGCTCCGCTCGTGAGTCAAATGCCGCTTATCGCACGTTTTGCATAATATACTATTTTGATTTTGGGATATTTGTCAGTTTCTTTTATTTCTTTGTTTTTTTTTTTTTCGTAAAACTATCTGTTGGTATTACTCCATTCTTATACTATTCTATTATTACCAACTAGTGAGGTCAGCGCATATTAAAAAACAAACTGAACCTAACAACCACCTAATTAAGTTAAAATACCCGCAATCTAGAAAAAACGTTTTCCTTTAAAATGAATATCAGTTCTACATGTACATCTTTTCGGTGGAAGCTCAAAATGAAAAATTACCGTTTATTTATAACATATATTTTACAAGAAATTGCATGAAATACAAATCATATTATTAACAAATTACAGCCAAACTAAATAATTCTGAATTCTTAAAATTCATAAATCATAGAAGCATTAAATGCTTACATGCGAGGTTCCTGTTGGCAAAGTGACAGTGAATATATAAAACAATAAAAAAGTATATGTACCGGGTGGCCCATTAATAAAGGACGCCGGACATATCTGAGGAACCGATATTGCCATGCTGCTTCCACTACTTGCTGTGCTTGTTACGCCCTTTCATTATAGCTAAAAATATTTATACTATATTTGAAATTTTCGAGATAATCAAAAAAGTTGCTGTTTTTGATGTGAAGCGCCTCCTATCGACGCGTAAAAGAATTAATATTGTGATATTGACATGCCAGTCGAGGCTCCTACAAATACTCCTTAAAGTTAAACTAAGATCCTAGAAATCTAAAAAAAAAAGTTACTTTTGACCCTTCCGCCGCCCTAAATTTGACTAGGTAGGAAAAATTAATGCAAACAAAACGTTAAAACTGATTTTGATACAGGTTAACGTGAAATATTTTTGAGAAAACCCGTTTTTTCTATTTTACGCCCCCTAGCGAACATTTTACGAACTTGAAAATAATTTCCAGACTATATAATTATTTAATAATTATTTATTGTTTTATATATTCAGTGTAACTTAATTTTTTTTTTTTTAGGAATTAAGAATTATTTAGTCCCCCATATTTTTTTAATAATATAATTTGTTATAAAATATATGTTATAAAACATTAATGTTCTCCTTCACTTTTTTACAATGCGAAAAACCTAAGGGGGGTGATTATATATGCATTAAATATGCATAGCTGGTCAAAGTTGGGAAACTTCTATGGTGTCCCACTTTAGAGGCCGTTTAGTTCAGTTCCCTTGTACTCCTTTGAATATTTAACTATATTTGAAACTATTTGTTATTAAATGTATATTTTAATTAAATGTTATCGTTGTTATGAATACTTCAATACTTCAAAATAACCAATTTCGATGCGCGAATCTTCAATTGCGTGGCTAAAAAATTCCTCCAATCTTCAGCGCGTCAAATTTTGAATTCCTAACCGTCCTAACAATTAATCTAGACCAAAAATTAGAAAAAAAAATCAGACCATAGAGATCAACGGAAATTCCTCGGCAACAACCTACGCCGGCGGCCATATTCTTACCCCAAATATGACGGCGGCGGCGGCGGCAGTCGATCGTCCGAGTTCGGCTACCCCGAAGTGCATTTCAAGACAGCGGAGACTCCTCCCTGGGGAGGCACGCGCTCCCCAGGGATCGAGGTTCTCCCCTACGCGTTCCCATGGGGACCGGCGTCGGCGGCGTCCCGACGTCGTGCCGGCCGAGGGGCGTGGGGGGACCGCGTTCGATAAGGGGGGCGGCCATTCATCGAGGGGGGTGCGATTTTATGTTGTATGTGCTGGGGGAACGGGGGCGGCGTGGGGGACGAAAGAATAAGATGGTGAAGGGATTTCGGGTACGGGAGCGTCGGGTTTGTGTTTATTAAAGGCGTAATGGCATTCAGATAAGAAGTTTTTTTTTTGGTGGCGGGGGTTGGGGTTGGTTTATATTTCGTTGTCGAACGGCGCGAATTGAGGCAATCGAATTGGGAGAGAAACATTTGCTTACGTTAAAATACAGAGGGAGATTATTCGAACGTTATTTTTCTCCTGCACACCCATAGTGATAATGCCGTATGACGCTTACTTTACCATTAATGCATGATAATGCCTTGACGTAAGATTAAGAATTAAGAGTAAGAATTAAAGCTTAGGCTTAATACAAACAACATGGCCTTTATCGATTAATGCAGCATTAATTTTAATTAAATTTGGTACACTTGCAGAGTAAACGTCGCCAAGTAAGCCAAAAGTCTTATCGTAGAAAAATAACTCAACACGTCTACGTTTAGTTTCTCCGAAAAGAAAAGAATTTACATAAAACTGCAAGAGGTTTCGTTAAAAACAGCAGCTAAAAATTTTGTTGGCCACAAGATATGAAAATTTTACATCGATCGCGAAAGTCTGCTATCGAATGTGTATGGTTACAACACAACTTTCTTTTTTCTCTTTTTCGCTGGTGCCTGATGATCTTTTTGCAATATATTACCAAAATACGAGAAGATTTCGAACAAAATTGAGTGAGTTCTGTTTAGCTGATCTTGTGTGTATTACTGAATCTTGGTTAAATTCAAACATTAATGATACAGAAATTTTCCCACAGAATTATGGTGCTTTTCCTCATGATCGGTATTTAACAACCAGTGAAAAAAAGATGTTGGAGGACTAATAATGTTTGGTGCTGAACAGGTGTCCAAGTGGTGTAGTAACGCCAATATTATTGAGGATTTGCTTGTCTCCCAGAGTTTGGAGGGCGGTAAGCAACTCTTTGTTTGTGCTGTGTATATGCCTCAGCACGCCTCATTAAATAATTATGTTGCTTTTCCATCCAAATTGGAAACAATCTGCCATAGATATGCGGATAGCTTATTTCTTATACTTAAATTGAAAATGGGACCACGATATTTCTGATTTTGTGCCCCGAAGCCCCATTTGCCATAGCTCTTTCTTGCTATATCTTAAGAAGCTTAACAATACCCGGAATAAGATTTTAGATTTAGTTATTTCACATTATGTCAACAGAAGCCACAGTCCATTTGTACAGGAAGACATCCACATCCACTATCCTGCACTCGAGATAACTTTCAATTTTAAAGTATTCAAGAAACTTCCTTGCAACAGTAATATTAAGAAACAATTTTCTCTACCTAGGTAGGTCTCAACAAAGTAAAAAATTGCTAACTTGGCGTGTTAAGTTAGGAAAATAAGGAAAACATCTGAAATAACTGAAAATAACATAAAAAAAAGGAAAAAAAACATTTTGGTCATATAAAAATAACAGCAAGAATACAAAATCGTTACCCTCTAAAATAAGCTACGATGATGATGTGACGCCAAAGCCTTTTATTTCTCATGATAAAGAATGACATACTTGTGACCCTCACTTTTCAATATTTTTACATTTGATGTTGGAAGCTGTTTTCAACATTCAGTGAGACATTTTAAAATCTCGATAAATGCCAAATAATACAGTTTGCAAGGAAAAAAGAACCTATTAACATTGACTTCAAATTGGACAATATAAAACTTAAGAGAGTTACTCAAGTGAAAGATTTAGGCATCATACTGGACTCTGATTTATATTTGAAGCACATGTAGGAAATATTGTAAAGAAGGGCTTGAGAAACCTTGGCTTCATATTACGTAACACCAAAGGGTTTCGCCGCCACAAATCAGTCATTCTTATTTATAATAGCGCCATCAAATCCATCTTGGAATACTCATGGAATCCGATATATCGCAAGTATATCGATCAGATAGGGAGTGTCCAAAAAAACCTCAATTTTAGATATAATGGACATAGACATTAGTCTTCGTATGAAAATAATCTACTGTTTTATAAATTGACGTTGGTTAAAACACACAGAGATTTTTCTTTATAAAAAAGACAAGGTGTTCTGAACTTGTAGTTCTTATTTATTTTGATAAATGGATTTTTATCAAGTAAAAGCCACCTCAGTTCAATTTTTGTTTTGTATTCCCGACCATATGTAATCTTGTCTTCACTACGCGCTATCCTGTAATTGGACAGCCGCATCTTTTTGTTCGTTAGCCTTTGAGTTTATATATAAATAAATAAATAAATAATAGCAGAAACAGGCTACAACTTGACTATTTTTGTTATGTGCGTTTAAAAAAATATGAGTGAGCAAACGGGTGTTTTTTAATATGAAGAATTGTGATTAACATTTTTTGATGCATAATGCATGATAATGACCTAACATCAGAAGCACCTCCACTGGAATACCGTTTAAAAATCTTCTGGATTCTTCTCGCATCTCATTATAGCCTTAAATCGCAAAAGCAAGCCTTATTTATAATTTAAATATACCTAAATATTCCCGGAACTTAATTTTATCATTACAACGTGATTTTCCGCAAGTTTCGCTCGTCTCGAAAATAAAAAATCCAAATTTTAATCCCACTTCTGACGTGCACGGCGTTCGTCTCTATCAGCCGGCGAGGCGGCGCTCTGAAATTTTAACAAAAGACGACGACGACGGGCGTTTAAAACGACCGGAGAAAACGCGGCGGGGCGGCGGGGGCGGCGGCGCCGTGTTAGGCTTAATGAAATCCTCGAGTCTCGAGAAAATTAACTGCCGCGTTGTAAGACGCGGGCAAGAAATCCGGTTGC